GGCTCCAGAAGATTCACTTTCTTTCTCTTCGGTCACTGAAGCTACCACATCCTTAAAGAAATTGCTCAAGGCCAATAGAGATGAAGCAGGAGCTTTTTGTGGAGGAAATAAAGGAACAATTTGAGTTTTCTCATACACAACCTGACAAAATGAGGAAAGATTAGATCTTAAAATTTTTGGGGTCATGAGATAGTCAATACCTTGGATGATTCGGCCATGTCTGTCACCAAGAGTGGCTGATGACTAGTTACTAGAGGAGGAAATTCTGGCTGAACCGCTGTGCTATCTCCCTGGGATGAAGTCTTAGCAGGAGTGACTTGAACATTGAAGGGCACCTCAATGGGATTATGAAAATCCTTCAGAGGGCTGAAATTTCTAACCGGACTATAGACCAAGTCAAGAAGAGGAGATTGCTGTAAAAGAGAAGAGATTAAGGATGTTATTAATTGAAAAGTTTGGAAAGTTCAAGTACAGTTATCTTTACCTCTTTTTCATCTGAGGAATGATCAGAAGGATCGTCAGCCACATTAATTACATGATCATCGGCCACGTCTTCTGTAGGATGAGGGCTTTCTAGATTTTCTTCTACTTCATGTTTCTTACTTTTGCTCAATCTTGTCTTTTTTTAAAGTACCATGAGCAGTTGATTTCTTTCTTTTTCCCTGGAGATGGAAGCTTTATTAAAGTTTGTCTCGGCCAATAATAGTTGTGGCCAAGAATTAGAAATCAATATTGGCCAAGTATTTTAATAATAGGGCCGATATGATTATCTTCGTATGTTAATGGATAAAAACTTTTACCTTTGGAGGGGCTGGAGGAACATCAGGGATGACGACTGATTCAGTTATTGTAAGCTGAGGAGGTTAACTTGAGGAAATTTCATCATCTTGGGGCTCAACGTTCTCTGGATTAGGCGAGGCTGATAAAGTTCCACTATCTGAATCTGCAAAAAAAAAAAAAAAAAAAAGTGTAAGAGAAATTCAATTAAAAGTTCTTTTAAAAATATATATATACACAAGTAAAGAAAGATTGTACCTTTGAGAAGACTGGCAGTGGCTTTGGCTTTAGCTTTTCTCTCTTTATTGATCTTTGTTGGAGCATCTGTTGGCTGAGAGCAAGGGAGTTTCTTGACCGTTTGTTTTTCACCTTTGGGAGGATCCTTTTGAGGCACCTTCTTTGGGGTAACGGCCCGGGAAATTATGAATGCCCCTTCAAAGGCCACGGATATGAACTTGAAAGATTCCAATATTTTAACAACAAGTGACTGGCTATCAGCCGTCCTTGTAGAAGTAATGTAAGAAGACCACCATTGATCAAAACTAGAATCTGAGGCTGGGTTCTTGATGAAGGGTTGGAATTGGAATCCGGCTTGCAGATTTGAGAACCGGGAGGACACGTTCTTTACATAGGAGTCATCTGGAAATACCACACGCCTATAGAAGTTTTTGTTGAAAGAGAAATAAGGGGGCATGGGGATCATTTGAGTCAGACCAAATTGCCTAGCAAGTTGGTTTGGATTGTAGAACTCAACTCCAACTTTTGAGTTTACTGTGCCTAGAGGGCCAGTGTTAAAGTGAAGGTCTCTTGAAAGTAAGAAACTAGCCCACATGGCCGAATGCTTATCAGCTGATTTTTTGGTAGACACTCCTTGAGGAGGAGTCAGCCATCGAGGTGCTTGTGAGCAATGAGAAAATGGAAGGAATTGGCTGATAGTCCTCTGTTCACAACCGGAGTAAAAGAAATTGAAGCAATCTCCAAACGAATGGGATTTAGGTACGGCCGATGCGTAACTTACAGAAAGTAATGGGTTATTGGCCGAAGGCCTCACCACAGGTCCGAGCTCAGGAAAGTACACTTGAAGCCAAATTTGAAATAACCAGAGGGGACCACCATAGCGTCCGAAGTTGGAGGTAAGCAAGTCATAAATCCCTCTATATAGATGGGAAAACACCAAGGGAGCAAGAGCAAGGTGTTTACCTCTTGAAAGGGCAACGGCCACATGAATGAAATCCTTTATGACTTGAAAGGCCGGTACACATAAAAGAAACTTGTTCAGCCAGGCCAACAAGAAGGCAATATGTTCAGCATCATTCATAGGGACGCGAGGATCCATGGTGGAAGTTAAGTACTTGCCATAAGAGGATTCAGATGACTTGGTTCCAGTTTGCTTTGAAGGGAAGATGAAAGGAGAATCCTCCTCTACCAACAAGGTACTTACATCAATCCCAAAGGGTTTGAGGCCGGTTAGATAGCACACATCTTGAATGGTTGGAGCCATCATGACACACTTCAAGTGTAAGGAGTTGGTGGTGGTCGACCAATTAAACATGGCTGCTATCATCAAGGCCCTGTCTTGAGCGATGTTAGTTTTACTTAGCTGAATGGCATCATATATGCCACAATCCTTCCATACTTCTCCCTTCACAGCTCCAACCCGGTTGACCCAATTGATCCAAGCATCATTTAGAATATGCCATGTTCTAAAATGAAAGTGTGGCAAACTGCCATTTTCATTAGGAGGGAAGGTTTGAAGGAATGGAAGAACGTCGGCCGAAGGATAGAAAGGTGAGATTGATGAAGAAGCTTCGTCAAGGAAAGCAGGACCTAAGCCTTTGAAGTCAGTACGAAGATCGATAAGGGTATTGAGACAGTATTTGTAAGGAGATAGAGTTTTTAGGGATTTTTCTATAATGTTGCCATGGGTTGAAGGATCGGAAGGTTGAGGGATAGAGGTGGAATCAGTTGATTTAGTTTTCTTAGGAGCCATAGAAGAAGTCAGGAACGATTTTGCCGAGAAAGAATTTCAAAGATAGAAAGTTTAAGGGAAGAAGAATGATTTTAGGGATTAAAGAGCATCAAGCTAAATACTTGCTGGATGTAATAGCGGATTAGTGTAGTCACCGCTTTAATTGGGAAAGATAACCATTAAAGCGGGTGGTTGGAAAGAGAATTTATTACCAAAATTTGAATTACAATTTTAGGCCGATTCAAATTCCAAACGCTTCGTATCATAAGTGATAAAAGCATTTGAAATTCAGGGGGTATTTATTGGCACCAAAACTTGGCAGCCACTTCAGCAGCGACGTGGACCAATGGGAAGCCAATAAGTGTTAAGCATGTCCAAGAATGGTCGGCCAATGGAGAAATAGTAGGAGAAGATTTAGGAAGATATCTATATATTCAGCCACCTCACCAAAAGGGTTGTTACTAAACAACCGAGACTTGTGTTAATTTCAAAAGGAAATTTCATTAGAAATAGAACATTGAAAGAAGTTGGCTAAGGTGACATAATTAAGTTCCTATAAAATAGGGATTTAGTTATGAGAAAGGAAATTGAATCCTTATGGAAATGAAATTCAAAAGGAAGGGGCAGCCACGCGAGTGTATGGGTCAAGGCTATAAATGGTCTTCCAGCCATTTAAGGGAAATATTTCAGTCAAGCTTGAAGAAAGAAGTTGCTAAAAATCAGCAACTTACTAGCAATCTTCCAGCAGCTTTCTACCGACTTCTTAGCAATCAATATTTTCTTCAACAAAGGTATTCTATTTGAAGCAAGACGAAACAAGAGGAGAAGAGACGTGAAAGACTACTGGAGTACGACCTATTTTCAGCAACAAAGTAAAGCAAATCAAGGAAAAGAGAGATTTCAGTAAAGACTTTCCCATTGAAACTGGAGCATCGATATTGAAGGCGAGGAATGTTGGGCCGTAGCTCAGTTTGAATTTCAAAAGAAAATGATTGAAGCAAGAGAGATTTTAGCAAGAAATAATTAGAAATTAGTTAGTTTTAGAACTTCTATACATAGAAGTATTGTATTCCATTTCTAACTTGTCCAGCACCACCACAAAACATGCATTTCAACTAAAAATGTTTTCAATTGACTCTACGTCATTTTCCTATCAATTTCTTTATTTCAATTTAATGTCAATTGATTAGATCCTCGTCAACTATTTCGATTCAGCCATTTACTTTCTTTCAATTTCAATTATGCCAATTTTAATTACGCAATTTTAGTTAGGCTTTGAATTCAATGGCAATTGATTAAATTCTTGCCATTGAATCGTAGTGACAATTGATTAAATTCTTGTCATTACTTGGCTGATGGCAATTGATTAAATTCTTGCTATCACGTTTCAGTGGCGATCGATTAAATTCTTGCCATTGTGTTTGGCTGGTGGCGATCGATTAAATTCTTGCCATTGTGTTTGGCTGATGGCAATTGATTAAGTTCTCGCCATCTGTCTTCACTCGGCCATTCCATCCATTCAAACATTCATCAGCCGTTGCATTTCTTTAGACACTCTAAAAAGTCCTTGCTACAAACAAGGCATAAAAGAACCTTACTAGGAGTTCTTACTAGTCTCTCTCCCACACAATCGCCTGAGAGTCAGTCATCGGAAAAAGAGATAGGTTGGTGTTCAATTACATATTTTGGGTATTTTGTACAAATACTCTGGCACGCCAGCGAAGAGTCCATCAACCGGCGTAGGGAACAAAAACCGCGCGAACACCCTGCCTTACATCCAACTCTAACTCTATGGTTGCCCAAATCTCTTCTAGTAGGGAGATCCTTTGATCACATCTTTTCCATTACTTTTTCAGGCCTCAATACTGTGATCCAATTTGTTTAACGCCATGATGAAATTCCTTTTAGAATTGAATTTCCCATACTATTCATATTTAACTAATTTGTTTCTCTCCAATTTATTGTGTGATACAATAATAATATACCATTGGCCATAACTATTCAAATAAATAAAGCATTAATCAATCAATATAAATCCTTAATATTGATACCAAGTATGAAACAGACCAACGGGCAAGGCCTGCAATGGCCTAAACTCGCCAAAATAAAAGTCAAGGGTTCATCCCACTTGAGGTAAAAAGTTTGCTCTAAACTCTCCAAATGTGTATACCATGACAATATGCGTGTGTGTGTGTGTGTGTGTGTGTGTGTGTGTGTGTGAGAGAGAGAGAGAGAGAGAGAGAGAGAGACTAGATTATTGGAAGTAAACACGCCATTAATGGTTCATTATATCATCAAAAAGCACAATATGAATATAGGTGCAAGAGAAGGTGAGAGACACACAATAGATAAATAACTTTTTGACAAACGAACGGAATGTAGCTATTTTATTTATTAGCTTATATCTTAGAACGATAGCGGATAGGACACGCTCATTCCTTGTCCTATCCAAGTTCAACCAGACACGCTCATTCCTCCTCTTCTGCCTCCTCCAGCCATGTTACAAAGGGCTCCAAAGCCTTCACAAAGGTTTGCCTGTAAGTTTTATAAACAACGGATCAATATCACAAAATTCAATAGGAACCGGACAAAAATAAAATAAAAGGCGCAGGAAATTTATAGTTCAATGCTACGAGCAGAAAAAAACACTCTTAGGCATCCAATGGACCTATTTCAAGTCAAATAAAATATATATATATATATATATATAATAAAAATAAAATAAAATAAAAAAGGTCCACCTTTCCTTATCATCTGTTATAAACCAGAGATGTTGTGCCGGTGAGAACCCAAGTCCCATAGGGCTTGTGGAAGCAGTCTAGCACCAACGAGGTACATTACATTTTTCAAGATAAAATATCACACGTATTGCCATCACTCATATCTAAAGTGATTTCTTTATCAATTATATGTGATTAAGTGGATCCACCATCAAGAAGTATGATTAAGAAAGAAAAAAAAAAACTAAAATGCCACCTTGGTTAACCATCCCACCCGTGCGGATAGACATTTTCGATTTTCATCATAAATTTTGGTGATGGTCACCGAAACACCTATTATTATCAATATGAAAATCACTCAACAATAATGGAATACAACAATAAGAAGCCAGACTTTTTTGTGGCATTCCACAGTGACAAGAAAACTAAGAGTAGACTTGTGCCTTGCCGTTAAAAAAATTAAATGGACACTATTATTATCTTGGGAATTTCAATTATAATACACAACAAAATCTAAATAGGGAAAGAAGACTTCAACAAGCATGAATGCATTAACATGAAGATTGCTGGTTTGTTGGACGTACGGGCACGTCATTTCTTCTTTTCAATAACTAATCAATTAGTAAAGTAAGTGCCAATATAATCAACTTAATTATTAAAACAATTATCACATACCTGCCCTTCGGGTTCGATCCTTTACGGAACCAGTGGAGAATGGTGTCTTCTGCAAGCACATCCTGATCGTATAGGGACCTCACAATTTCAGGGAATAACTTCATCAGCTTAGTATCCTCATAGCATTGGACCTGGACTTTGTACAAGAGTTCCAGCTCAAGCTTTCCACTGGTGCAGAAGGTATTTAATAAATTTGCCCATGTTTTCACCTGGATATAAATTTGGAATTTTATAATGAGTTCCAGCTCAATTTTTGCTAATATCATCAATTTGAAATTTTAGAGTATCTACTTTTGCACTCGTAATGCATGTGAAGACTAGGGATGGCAAACACTGAGGATTTGGGACAGATTTGCTTAAACCCTACCCCAGCTACCCCACCCATCCTAAAAAAAAATTATCCCATCCCAGTCCCAAACACGGGATGGAGATTTAGTCGCACTACCATCTATGTCCCAGGAAGAAAGTGAAAAGCCCATTCCTGCCCCATTTAATTAAGCCAACAAATCTACGGCAAGACATTATTATCCTTAGTAACATAAAATTACCTAAACACCTCCTTTTTAACAAATGAAAAATTACATAAATACCCTGATGTTGTAACATATGGTCATATTTTCCCTTTTCCTCACTTCATTTCTAAGGTCCTAATACATCTGTGATATCTATATATACAATGTCATGGTTGTTGAAATACCCAATCCGGATCGTACAATCTTACGATCCAATGATTGAGCAATCCAGATCACATGTAAAATAGCTTGGAGGAAGGATCTATAAGAACGAAGAATCACATAGGATTGTACGATCCTGCTAAATCATGTTTTTTGTTCTTCTTTTTGATTTGTTACAGCTCTTTTGGGCAAAGAAATTTGAGACATTCAAGTAAAATTCCTAAATCTTCAGCCTAATCGGGAGAGGGGTGAAAAAAAAAAGATCCACTGTCAAAGGTAGAGATGATCCAACTCTGAACTTTACAGGTATATCTCAAAGCTTCAAAAAAAAAATCTGTTTTGCTTTATTCCTCCTTTTTTTAACAAAAAATTGAAAGAGCTGCTTTGTTTTCCTGCCTATATCTCAAAACCTTCAAAAAAATAAAAACAGACTTTGTCTCTTTTTCTGTTGTTCTCTCTCTAATTTTTTTTAAACCGAAAATTAATATTCTCAAATGAATTGCTCGTATAATTAGGCAACTAATGATTCCTCAATTTCCTTCTTCTCTTTGTTTTGGCTTTAATTTTTTCCCATGAAATTCTGCTTGACTGATATGTTGATGCTTTTGTATAGAGGAAGTCAAGAAATTGATTTCAAGTGCTTCTCATATTTATTACTCTCTTAGTATCTTTTTATGCTAATTGATTTTGCGATTTTGGTTGCTTAAACATATTCTCTATTTATATCAAAGATACTTTTATTTAGAAAGTTACTTTGAGTTAATTTTCTAATGGTTTTATAGAATCTTACGATCCTCAGTCCGATTCTACAATTCCGATCCTATGGACGCCCCTCATCCTACATATATAATCCCAGTCCTGACAACCTTGTACAATGTACAAAGTATAAATGATATGTATAGAGGTGAGCTTTATTCATATCAGAACCTAATAACGTGATAATGGATATTATTATGTATTCTCATTTCTGAGTGCTGAAAGCTTAGACAGAGGGGGGTAGAGAGAAAATACTCTCAAAAAGAGTACGCTTCACAAGGGTGAGACCCTTCATTGCTATTCGTTCCTCTATTACCACTCGCAAAGGCCAATTCCCATTCACCACAGCAAATCTTCATTTGCCAATACGAGTAGTAAAAAAGGACAAGGGTTTTTCGAAATCTTCTATTTTGATTCCAGAAACCAAATGTTTAAGCCACACAGATGATTCGAGTATGAGGATGGGAGGAGAGCAAATTCCATTTTTGTATGGTATACACACACACACACACACACACAAAAAAAAAAAAAAAAAAAAAAAGGGAAGTTCTGTTATTTATACACAATTTATATAGATCTGAGATAGGTTGGATGACATTCTTTATTCAGCTAATTATAATCTGTGCGCGCGAGCGCGTGTAGATAGAGAGAGAACAAGGTACACCCATATGTCTCTTTCATATGCCCTCTCGCAGCGACAATATGATTAAGAGAGACGTATTGGATGGGGTGTGGTGTTGAAGAATATTATGATACAAGTTGTAAGTTTCGGAAGAGGAAGACTTAAAGAGCACACAATATAATTTAACAATAGAAAAATCCAAAGAGAAAGACCAAGGGCAGCCTAGTGGTACTTCCTTTTCACCTTCCAAAGTAGAAGATTGAATGTTTAAGCCCATAGAGGCAAAGTGGGTGTGCTAGTTTCAAATAGGAGGGGAAAAAGAAAATCAAAGAATAGATATGAGAGTCAGAAGAGAGTGAGGAAGGTGGTGGTTCAGCATGTGTGATCCATAGATCTTTGCTTCAAAAGCATGTTGCGTTTCAGAGATATACTGTTATGCAGCTGGTACGGTATAAAGCAGAGATAGGAGATCTACTGAGTGAAAAAATACTGTTTCAGAAAGAAGAGAGTGTTCAGATAGAAAATAAAATAAAATTGGTATAAAGCAGTAAGAGAGAGGACAATCACTTCTTTTAGTAAGAGAGAACGGCATCTGACAGATTCTCTGAAAGGGGAGATCAGTCATATTTTTTAAAAAAGAGGGAAAAGGTCACTGTAATTATGGCAAACCTCAGGAAAGGTGGGAGTAATTTACCCAAATACCTATCCCATCAATGATTATCTGGTTATTCTGTTTACCATTTGACCATACAATGGGGAAAGATAGATACTCCAAAAGAGTTGACCCCTATACAAACACTTCTCTAATCAGTTTCTGACAAGAGACATCTCTACATAATACCAACAGCACACCAAGAGGCAAATGAAGGCTTCAGCCTCATATTACACTGCACATGTCAACTGGAATAAACAATCAAAATGTTTTTCAGATAATATTTAAAGATAATATGGCATTTACTGCATTAAGTCCAATATTCTAGACAAAACCATACAACCAAAATTGAATGTGATTGAATTATATTTACCAGACTTATCAAAAAAATAAAAAAAAAATTGCTATTTTATTTTAAAATTTTAAGGGAGGGTGGGGCCGGTGGGCATATTATGCTTTAAAATATAGCCTCAAATGCAACAACTATAATATAGAAATTTACAATAAAGACAAAGCCATGCCCCCTCCACGTTGTATGTGGCTCCTCTCCTAACAAAAAGTTTTTGCAATGTATCACCTGATTCACCTCTTAAAAATAAGAATCAAGTGTAATTGCACAAAGCAACCACACAAAGGTCTAAATATGCAATGTGTGATTTGTAAATAAATATTCACAATTACATGCATTACAGGCAACAAGGCAATAGGCATTGAGAGGGATGAGGTGGATTGGGATGGTTTGGGTCTGAAGTCCATGTTCTTTCTTAATAAAATTTCTCGTGTATCACTGTATCATACAAAGAAGTGTCGATGTGCAAAATATTGCATACTGAGATCAGACAAGGAGAAGGCTTTTTTACAGGGGCAAAAGAAAGAGGAAAAAAGGTCCCTTAAGTGGTGAAACACAGATTCCATGTACATAGTCCAGAATTCAGTATATAAAATGTAAATAACAAGAGAAAAATCATATTGTTACTAAACAGGTAAGATGAACAACTATTGCCATTTATTCCTAAACGAAAAGGTGATAACACATCAAGGGACAAAAAAATCAACATATAGAATATCAACCAAGGGTCTAAAACTTTTTCTGGGGCTCAACAAGTTTAAATAAAAAATTTATAAGCTTTAAAATTTTAAATGTTTCTAGCTTGAACCAAATTAAAATTATGTATATAACACATACCTGACGAAGAGCTGCATTAGCATTCTGCTGTTGATTCTTCCCAGACCATTGAACAGCATCCATTAGAACATCCCAAAGAATCCGAACAACTTCAATGTCTGGTAATTTAGCATCTTTAACATGTTGCTTCACAGATTCTATGACTTCAATTATATCAGTTTCCTCTGCTATTTGGGTTGTTAACACAGATTTCATTTCCCTCAGCTTCACCTCGAATATCTTCTTCTCAAAGTATTCAACCAAGGGTATGAGCCCCGCCTTGCTGGAAATAAAAATCCCCATACATGGATAAGTTATTCCACTAATAAAAGAGAGTACACACTTCAATTGTAAATAAGAAATTCCCAAATGGACACTTAACAAAGTCAAGAAAATATACTTATTTCATAGATAAAGTCAAGTCAAGTAAAGAAAATATTCTTATTTCATAGAATATTCTTATTTCATAGATAAAGTCAAGTGTGGGGGGGAATAAACTACTGCAGAATATAATACTTTATGATTGCACTTTTGACATCGTTCTAGGGTTTAGGTGGAAGCCTGACCTCTCTTTAGGCCTTTCTCTATTAGGATAGCCGCCTCCTAAACAGATGCCAGGTGAAATTACAACACCAATAACCTAAAAACTGTGAGATGCTAATTAAAGTTCTGTAACAGAGCTAAGTTCCGCTTTAGATAATCATGAAAGCTGCCTCAGTGAAAAGCACCCTAGCTTAGATCTCCAAATGCCAACTTATAATCATAGCAAAATACTCACTTGACATATCAGAGATAACATGATCCAGCTATTCTGATAACTAATATACACCTTTACCTAATCAGTCAGTTCACTAATAATGTCAATCTACAAGGCACAAGACTCCAGAATTTTCAGCCACCCCAAGCCAAAGAATTTTTTTTCTTTTTACTTAAACAAATTAAGAAATAAGGCAACCCATTTGCATCTCTGAGCATCACCATAACCAAATGATAAAAAAATATATTAACTCCAAGAAGGATACCCAAGCAAAAATGATGGAACAGTTCGGCCATTGAGTTTCAGCCACACAACTCAGTGAGTGCTGGTATCCTTTTTTGCTAATAAGGAGATGCATGATCATCCACCATGCATTCTATAATGAAGGAAGAACCATTCAGTAATCCACTATGACACAGACAAAGAAAAGGGTAAAACACTGTAAGTCTACCTAATCGATTGGTTTGCCTTGGTTTGCCTCTAACGACAGCATTACCACTAGATTGACTCCAACCCGAAACCTCCAAACGCAGCTATCCTATCAACATGATCACGCCCTAGCCATGTCTTCTCTTCAAAGTCATCACCAGGCAATACCTCCCACAAACACAAATTATTATGGATAAGATTTAATGATGATTTTCTAAATTGCCAATTACTCTTCCAAAACCTTCAATATTGTTCCTCAAAAGTCAGATGTCACATACTCATACTAAACTCTCAATCACACAAGTATCTGTAATAAAAAATTTGAAAACTCGTAGTACAACTGAATTAGATTAAAAAAACCTAACAAGTTCTCTTTTTCTCTCATTTCACTAACACAAAAACCCATTTTCTCAAAAGTATATTTGTAATATAAATCACTAGTCCAAGCTTTAAAAGAGTCAGAAACAAATCTAAAGACCTTTTGATAAGATTGGAAACCAAATGAATGAATTTCAGATTTAGAAACCTAAATTTTACAAATTTCTGCATTGAATACTGGTGCTAGAATTTGCGTACGGTGTTCAACTATCTGTGGCGTGGAGAAATGGTCCTCAAAAGTGACTACTGGTGCTGAACTCATTGTGATGCTGAGTACCAGCACTCAAAAAAGTGACTAACGATGCTCAACAAACAGTTTCACACAAAAAACCTATTTAAATTCAAACACATCCTAAGTTTTTCAATAAACAATTTGAAAAATAAATAATGACAAAGACCAATGAAAATGTTTCCAAAATACTTTTTTTGAAGAGACCTGGTCTACAAAACTTACTAACCTGAATCTAAAGTGGTCTACAACACTTACAAGATGTCTCGACATTCGGTGAGCTCTTCCCTTGAAGCACAATCTTCAAGTAAAACAAATGCTACTCTTCGTCTTATTCCACACGTAAACTACTTTGTGCATGTTTGGGTTTGGCGTTGCAATTAGGCAGGTTTAATGTGCTTCTAATTTGAATCACTTTTAATTGTGTTTGGTGACACAAAATCACACAAAAAAAGAGAGTTTAACAGCAGAGAAGCACAAATTTGATGCTTTTGCAGTAGAGATCACATAAATTGTGTGGTTGCAAGTAGCAGTAAAATTTATGGAAGAAGTATATTTATGGAAGCGCTTTAATATTGCATCCCCAACCAGTATATGGCTTTTTAACAGTCAGCAATTTTTTGACGGGTCTACAAGAGAAAAAGCTTCATGGAAGTTATAGCAATGCCAAACAGGCTCTTTACATTCTGTAATATAACTTTACCAACAATATTAAACCTAACACAAACTTTCCTATGCACGACACAATGAAAGCATGAAAGGAAGCCAAGTGTCACAGGCCTAGAGTTCGGGGCGTGAAGGAATTGAATTTTGGCCCCAATTTTCAGCTAATGGTAGATTTACCATGATATTTGACAGATATTTGAAAAAATACATTCAGATAGCTCAGTGGATAGCTGTGTTAAATTAATAGGTTCTGTACATGTTATGCTCTGGAACTTGCATGACCCAAGTAAAATATTTTAATATCCTTTCTTTTATATATGTCAAATAATTTTACTTAATGTTTATCCATATTACTGTGGAAAGAATAATATTATAGATGGACACAATTACTATAGGAAGTCCAAAAACATATCTGCCTATTTCAGCAGCAGTATGTGGAGATGATGCAAATTTCCTCATTAAAATAATAGGACTTCCGTACTTGAGCAAAAGCCAAGATGAGGATAATAATTCCAATTCGTTATCAAAGCAAACCAGAGCATATAGGAACACAACAGAAATAACAAAAATAAAACTAATTAAAGATACTTTTTACAGCTGTCACAATAATCCTTACAAACGATAAGGAGATCAAAAGCATTCAGCATCCCATCCATTAACATTGCAAAAGTCCATGGGATTTTTATTAGCAGATGCATAATATATTTACAATTAGCCAATATAGATATAACAAAATTCCTAAATAAAACAGTTCCTTCATTTATAAATGGAACACCAACCTGAAATGCTCCGAGAAAGCTTCAGAAGACCGCTTTGAAGAGGGGAAGAAGTCGAGAAGGTTGTCCTCCATTTTACCCCGCTTCAGAATTGAAATCAAATCATCAAGGCTATTATCGATCAGATATTCCTTGAAGAAATCTGTTACAAATGAGAGAACTAGCCCTTTGGCCACAAGGTTATCCTTAAGCAGTGGCTGGAACACAGTCTCCGGTGGGAGACCTGACAGCTTCTGGGAAAATGCAAGTGCTGTGAAAATTGCAAGCTTAATCCTTTCATTTTCCTCAAAAAGCTCCAATGACTGAAGGAATCTTCGCATGACATTTTCAAGATTTTTTATGAGAAAAGGCTTTCGCCGCAAAATCTTCTGTATGTAGATTACGAATGGCAAAATAGCTTCACGTTTAGGCTCACTGGATATTATAGAGTAAGGGTGATGCTCCCCTTCATCAGGTTTAGTTGTGCCAGGTTGTGTGCGCCCACCTATGAAGACAACCTGCAGTTATGAAGATTACATCAGCACATAAGGTGTCCACCAAAAGTAAATGATGATACGCATGTAATACTATTAAACAAATGGAAAAAAAATAAAAAATAAAAAAATCTAATGTCCACAAGAGCAATTAGCATTGTGGAATACAAGTTCCACAACATGGGTACAGTTCCATTCCATTAACACCAAATTTAGCAACCCAAATTAAATTTGGTGTTAAATATACATATATAGACAGCTTATTACTTAATTCTAGTGGTTCAACTTCATGGCTGAATTCTATTCAACCTTTAGGAATGGTACATTGCAGGAGCAACAAAAAGTGAAATGGGTCATTATTGACTACATTTGTCCTTAGTTTATAGAGCTAGAATAACCGATAATCATAGACATTTGGTGCCCAAATTAGTAAAAGGCTGTGATGAATTGAGCTCCACATTAGTCATTTTACCTAAATCTACTACTGATTTAAGTTCAAGTCTGAATTTGTCCCCACCTCTAGAAATCAAGCACAAACAACATGGGAAATATATGTTCAGCAATATTTGTTCTCAGCTTTTTGTGTGAGGGGAATCTAACGTACTGTTTGATAACTCAATTCAGCGCTTAATTCTGAACGGATTAAGTGCTTATTCAATTAAGTGTGTTTGATAATGCAATTTGACGCTAAGCACCACTTTAAATGGGGTAAAACATCACTTATCACTCAATACGCTGGAAAATTTAAAAAATATCAAAAATTTATTTATTTTTTAATTACCACTTAAAAACTTCAGTGCTTAAAATTCAGCTCTTAAAATTTTCAGCACTTAATTTTCAGTTTTATCAAACAGCACCTAAGTTAATTAATTTCCGAGAAAAAAAGAATCTAAGTTTATTTAAATATTACTAATACATCTCGAGTCTCAAAGTTAATTTTCCACCAGGTAATAAATTTTCCATTTTGTACTCTTGGCAGGAATCATTTGAGCCAGTTTAAGAGTTTAAACAGTATTGGTTCTGTATATTCCATCAGGTATTGGTCATGACAAAGCAAAACTATTGAGTTATTTTCCTGATTAACAAATGAAAAAATCCCTATTGGTTTGAGCATGGATCTCATAAGAAGCATTCATTTATCTCTTATTCACTAATTTAACATCGTTCACAGCCCAATACATCAACACAGTTAGAACCCGTTAACCACCATCTACTGTAAAAGCTTAAGCTGGTAGAGAGGTGTAACTTATATATTTAAATCCTTCAACACGCCCCCTTCACGTGTGGCCTTCTTTTTTTGGTCCAACACCCGTTTCAATTTTAAATTCAGGGTGACATTGAGGTTTGAACTCGAGACCTTTGGCTCTAATACCATATTAGCCACCATCTACTCTAAAAGCTTTAAGCTGTTAGAGAGGGTGGAACTTAAATATTTAAATCCTTCAACATAACCCATAGTTAAAATCAACTGGTTTAGAAGCGTAATTCTAATACTCTTATTTAACCAAGCTAAACAACCATTTTACCCTTACAGTTCAGCCTTGGAGCCTAAGATACCAAAGTTTCCTTGCATCAAAGTTGTGTTTGCACAAAAGAAATATAGAATCTCATAAAAGGAAAAACCCTGAACAGCAACGCAAAATAATGAAAATTTTATAATTCTTTAAAGGACTAAGTTGGGGCTAGATAGATGACTGACACTGAAAAGACAAGTAGAATCTAAAGCCAGAAGATCCAGGTAATATGCTGGGTATGATGACTTTTTAGGTCAATTGACTACAATTAAGATTCTGTCAAATGAGTTCCATGCAGCATTACTCAAAAAGCGCCAAAAGTCTCAAACAAGGACCCCTAGTCCCCACTTCAAAGTCATCCTTTTTCCAAACAACTGTTGAGCATAGTTTACTTCCAGAAAATTATTACTGACATGATAAAGCGACATGGCTCAAAAATTTAGGGAAATATCCATCACCACATCTAGTAACAACACTTCTTTATTATTATCATGATGTTTCTAATTCAGACACGATTAAGATATCCTAAATGTTTAACAAAAGTAACAATTTGGTAATGTTTCGGGGAAGATAGCGGGAGGATGACCTGGGACGTGCACTTTGTTAGGCACTTCCTGGGAGTTGGAGGATGCATTGGGCTCTTGGAGTTGCTATACAGTCAGAAGGTGGATTCCTGGGTCTAGGTGCCCTCATCTGCAGGGAGGTTCGATGTTCGCTCTTTCTATGGGAGACACTCACATGCTTCGGGGCCTGCTTTCCCGTGGAAGCCTGTAAGACGCACTAAGGCCCACCCTAAAAGTAGCCTTTTTTGCTTGGACAGTAGTTCTAGAGAGGATTCTGACGCTAGATAATAAGGAGATAGATTATTGTCCCCTGGTATTGTATACACGAGAGACAATGAGTTGGTAAATCTTCTTCTTTTGCATTGCCCAGTGTCCCAGGACAGTTGAGGTCTGCTTGGGGTCCAGTGGGTTATGCCTTGGTCTTCGAGAGGCCAATAGAGGCTTGGAGAGGTTGTACATTGCGTTGCCAAGTCCGTGACTTCTGGAGGGTTGCGTCTTGTGTGTGTGGTGGTGTATGTGGATGGAACAAAACAGGAGATCCCTTACTGGTGAGGAGCCTCCTATCAGGGCGCTAAAATTCTCTATTATTACTTCTCTTTTTAATGGGTTCAGGGGAGATATTGTAAATCTTTAGGTAAGATAGTTGATTTTTTTTTTAAGTATAGAGAGTTCAGGGGCCCTATTTGGTCCTTAAGTAGCTTCTGTGCGCAGCGTTCCCTGTTTGGACGCTTCCTAATGAGGGGAGCTTTCAAAGACTTCTTCAAGAAAATAATTAGCAATCAAGAAAAACACTTATTCACTTTGACAACCTAAATCCAAATAGCAAAAAGCAACAAAGACGTGAATTGGAAAATAGACCACATGCTAGAGGGGAATAAAGCAAATTCAGCAAAAAGCACATATTCAGCTTATGACATGTTTCTTAGCCCTAAACGCCATATAGTTAAAAGTCTCGGTCAAGACTAAGACAAGAAACCTTAGTCGACCGTCTCATTGGGGGTCGAGAGATATTATAACCCAGTATAACACAGCGGAAGTTCAAGGGCAGTTCAAAATGAAGATCAGCCAACCTCATAGATAATAATATCACAAGGCACGTAAAAATTAACTCAGCAAGACAATCCAAGGAAAAAAACGCGTTTTCAGCAAGGAAACTTCTCTTGAACCACGGAACTCATTTTTTGCAACTAGAGACACCCCAAGGGACCAATCATTTTGAAGCTTATTAAAGGCTTAAGTTTTTGGTTCAAATGACGATGATGGACTCCAACCCTAGGTACAAACTAGTGACGTGAAATATATACTAAAAAACTACCCATAGAATGAAGAATTCAGAGTACCATTTCTGTAACGGACTAACAGTTCACTGTTCGAATAAATTCTTATGAAATATATCAAATCAGTAAAAAAAATATTGAAGATACTTGCCTCAAAAAAAGTGTCACCGTATCTTGAGAAGTTAAGGTCTGAAGATTCAATGCTTTTAGCGACAAGTTCCTGCATGTAACAAAATGCTCATTTTGGTCCATCGTGACGATAAATTCTCACACACACACAAACACAAACACAGAGTCAACAGGATCATAGATAAACAGATAAACTTACCAAATCACCAGCATTATCCACATAAATCTGGACCACTGCATCCGAAAATGTTGCAGGGTCCAGAGGTGTTGCAATATTCCGTTTGCGGGTCTTAATCCGCGTACCACTGTGATTACAAAGAAATTATAAACCAAAAAGTAGTTCAGTGCAACAAATTTAATAGCAAAAGCAGAATTCAAGATCATCTCAGCATACAGTAGTCTCCACGATCTAGATTATGTGTGTGATTCTAAACAACATGACATATAACAAATGATACAATATGTCCACCACCTAGAATATACTTGCTATTCCAAATGAAACAACAACATCACAATAGATTCTATGCAAGCATTGTAGGTTCAAAATTTGCAAGCCAAAAAGAGGAATGGGAAAAAATTACAATTCAGTCAATATTCCTAAGTTGTTTAATACTAGGGGAACGCTAGCATCAACACTCCTATGGAAAAATCAGCACACACTTCTAGTACGGAATTAGCAAAATATATTACAAATCAGAAGCACATGTCAAACGTTATTGTCACTTTGCCTATTGATGCATTTTTTTATTTTTCTTGGTAAATGAACCCCATTCAAGTCTAATGTATCTGGAAATGCAAATGATCCTTTCTAGGCAATGTCACAAATACTTGAAAATTCAAATCTTGTTTTTGTTTCTTGCTTTCCCACTCTGTTCTAAGATGATGTCAACTGTCAACAGACAACAATAAGTTCAACACTCAAACTTAGCCTCGCAAGTAAAATGGTCATTACAAAGGAGGAGCATCTCTGCATCAAACATGGCACCCTTCAGCATGCATTGATGCTTAAGACACTAAATAATTCACGCACACCCTACACACATCAATAGTTGTAAGATGATTTTTTTGACATAGTACACATACCAGAATAGGTCATACCATGCCACGGCAAGTAGAGACATGGCTATTCTCTTCCAATATGTGATAAACAATAAACTTGGAAACTAACAACCCCCCCCCCCCCCCTTCCCATTAAAAATAGCAATGCACCATGGACACATTGAGCATGTGTACAATGAGCATGTGTACAATGACTCACAACCTAGGAAGCATGGATAATTCTACAAGAGTGGCATACCCGTATTCGTGGGCGGAGTTAAGAGGGGCCAACAAGGGTCATGGCCCCCCCTATTAATAGAAAGATCTTTCTGTAGTGATAAAAGCTCTTTGATAGGCTTACACGCCTACTTCGGATGGGGGGAAACTCCCTTAGCAATGGTTAAAGATTAATGCCTTTTATGCGCTTCATGATCCAGCTCAACCAGAATGGCTAACTAAAGGCAATAGGTACTAAAATTTAATTCTTGAATAATATTTTTTCTTTACAACTTCATCTTTCACCTGTAACTTCTCTCTTCCTATTCTCTATGTTTTGTTCTTTTTTCATATCAGATTACACAATACTTAATTAAGTTCATCTTTCTCGTTTTTTGGATTGTATTTTCCTCTGATATATATCCTAATAAGAATAATATTATGAAGAAATTATATAATGATTGGTTTTTCAATTTTTAATTATACAGTACTAGTTTGGCCTCCAACTCCACAACGAGGGGGGTTTCATACAATGGATTGACCCCCTTTTTAATTCCCCACCCCAACCCCCCCTAACAAAAAAATTAAAATTCTTGGCTCCCCCGCCCGTGTTGTGTCTGTATCGAATAAATACAGAGTTCCGATCCAGAGTAAGTGTTGGATACTTCCTAAACCTATCCATAATTTTTAAAAATTAAAAATAAATAAATAAAAGGAAGGGTAAAAGCAATGAGCAGCACAAACTGCAATAGCCCTTTTGGTGCCATTGTCATGCATTCAAGATTCAAAAGCTTAATATAATCTTATATAATGGACCAATTGAAATTCTCAGGTAGAAACAAAACTGGAGAATATCCTAGCAAAAATTAATACGATATATGATTACAAGATAAGGAACATAAAAAAATTAGAACATTAAAAGAAAACAGAACTTACCCAAGAGTGGGTCTCTCCTTCGAGCTGCACGAATCCAAAAAAAAGTATTAATTATACTTCATCTATGATTTCAGGAAGAAAGAAAAAAAACAACAACAAAAAAAAAACAAAACATCATAACAGAGCAGTGTTCTTGATACCAATATAATTGATCATACATAAAGAATCAAGAGGGGGAGAGAAATAAATAAATAAATATATAAGCTCATAATTTCATCAAATTCGAATCTTTCTTTACAAATAAGAAAACAAATTAAAAGTCCAGTAGCCCTAATCAACCAAAAGACACTGAACTGAGCAAATTGTTGTGAAATATATATCCACGTATACGCATAGATGCACAAACACATACAAGTATAGAGAGTAAAAAATCAAACTTTTAGTACATAAAATTGTGTGTGTCTGTGTGTGAGTGAAAAAATACAAACTTTTGAGTTGAAGTAAAGATCTTGGAGGATAATTGTTGAAAAAGGTCAAAGAGGGTTGATTTTGGAAAAGAAATTTCATCAAGAAGTACAGATCTTCATATGTTCAGAAGTATAGATCTTCACAGATAGATGAAGGGAGAGAGAGAGGTACCTCATAAACCAAGACCGAAATAAATCGAAGATCTCTCTGCGTCTAAACTGCGATACAGAGAGAGAGATGAGAGAGAGTCTTCGCTGGTGTTTGGGACGTATATTAAAAAGGTAATGAAGTACAATTACAATTCATTAGGGCTCTGTATCTCGCGAATTCAGCCGTCGGATCAAAAGCTTTTGCTATCCAACAGTCCCGATTGTGCGCTCACTGAAGAGTAACTTTATGGTAGATTTTACTTCCTATAATGGATGACTTTTTTTTTTTAATGGTTAATTATACTTGAACACCAGTTGCAATAAATCGAATTCTTTGATGAACAGGGCTAGTTTGAGGGTGTGAACCATGTGGTGGTTTATTAAGTCTAAAATTAATTTTTATTTTAATTAAGAGAAAATTTGTGTTTAATGTGATTGTACTCAATAACATGAACAGAAAATAAGCTAAATAAAGTAAACTGGCATCAGAAGGAAAAGTACTTAGGCTTGATTTTTCCATGAACCTCTTGATATGGTCAACTAATTCAATTTTAGGGGTTTAAGTATTTATGTATAATTAGGAATTAAATGAGTTAATATTCTATTTAATTCAATTTTAAAAAGATAAATTATGAATGTTTATTAAGAATAACCTATCTTCGCATAACATAAATTATCTACCTACAAACTTTAAACTAATTTGCAGAATAATTCGTCTTCCCTAAGCATAAACTATCAAAACATTCATTCATAAAAAGTTAAAAATGGTTTAAGTACCATTGCAAGACCACTATTCTTATTGTCACGAGAAACCCTTACCCGCCAATCTCAAATAATAAGAATAGTTTGGATTTGATTAACGAATAATTAATTCTGAGACAAAATATTAGTTTATCAAAAACTAATTTTATTTCATTAAAAACCCAATTGCTTAGAAGATCTAAGTCAATTGCTCGCAATCATGCAATCAAAATACATAAATACTAAAAATCCCCAAAATTGAAGAACATTCAAACCATAGGGATCGGATTTGTGTTACATCAATACCCTAAGAGATGATTTAACAACTAATGAAGACGGAGAATATCATCTTTGTTGTTGTGGAAAACATCTTCATGGATTGCAACTCCTCTTCTTGGGATCTTCTTCTTCAATCTTCAAAGAAAGTTTCAAAACCCTAAAAGCCGCGCGCTAGATCTGAAAAATTGTGCTTTCTTATGACATTTCACCTTCTTTTATAGAAGAAAATTGACTTATATTCCCTCTTGGATGGACTTTAGAATTTTTGGAGTAATCTGGGATCAAAAGGGATGATTTTAGAATTTTTCCGTATTTAATTTTTAAGTCCCAGCATGGTGCTTAAGCACCATGGCTAGGGTGCTCGAGCACCCTCTCCAACACTTGACCAATTTTTTTCAAATAATTTTCGAAGCATCTTTTTGCTCAACACTTTAGCCAAATTTTACATTTTTCAACATGGTACTCAAGCACCCTCTCCACATTCTGCATGTTTTGACTGTTGAACTTCTGGATCACTACTAGAGGTCTAAAACACCTCCAAAAGCTTCGAGAACATCACTTCTTGCTTAAAAATCACGATTTGATCAACTTCTTTTGGAAATCACTTACAAAAGCAAATAAACGAAAATTAGTATAAAACTGGATAAAAATATCGCTTACGGACTTAACATTCGCATGTTTAAGGGCTCGAATATGCAATATTCAGCGCTTATCACACCCCCAAACTTACATATTGCTAGTTTCTTAGCAATACAGAATCAAAATCAAAAATTAAAATGTAAAAACAAAGAAGCCGCTTTTATGGGAATCACTATTACATTTAGCTTATGTAACAAGCTTTTAAACCTTTTGGTTACCCCTAGGGGACAAGTTGTAGTCTCATAAGGGTTTCTAGAGATGATACCCACAAATATCCAAAAATTCATACCTTCAAAGCACAATAGCTCTTTCAAACCTGTTTCTTATACCAAAATATATTAGCAATTCATAAACAAGCAAATTCAACAAGTATAAAGAAATATATTATTCGGAGAAAATTTTAAACTTCCAACATTAAGCCAGCAATTATAGTTTCCACATATCAGTCTTATCATGTATCAAATAATCCCGATCTCCAAAATCCTTTTAAAAGTGAACCTACAATTATACATGTGGCTTACCATCCATACTCATATATGTTCTACGATATCCTTCAATTCACAAGCAATCCTTTCAAATTTCGATCCCCAAGGCATAAATTCTAATTTTAAACAATTAAGTATGCATTTATTTCATTATTTTCTCTTCTTATCTTTTTTTATTATTTTTTTAAAACAGGGTATTGTGCAATGTTTGGGTCTCTTAAGCTTTCTAGATTACCTGTTTAACGAGTTTTCAGCCAATGAAACCCAAACCAGGTGATTTTAGGGCATTATGTGTCAAAACACCATAAGGTCTTAATTACTTAAGTAAACTAGGCTCCAGACCCAAACTGACCCTTCAATTTCCTTTTTCTTATCTTTTTCACCTTTTGACATGAATCTTCAATGCTTACTAAGACAAGAATCCCAGTTACTCAGTAGAAAAGATTTCATACTTTTTGCATACATGCCAAATTTTACACCTCGGTTCTCAAAATTCTCAAATTTGCCAGGTCATCAAAGTTTATGATGAAACAAAACAAGATATCAAGTTTATACCCGACAGAATACATGCAAGTGTGTTCATCTGCAAAGTGAAGTATTCTAGAGATCAAATTCATAAGATCGCAAATATCCTAATAATGTGGACCATAAACTGCCAACAAACATCAAAAAATTTCAAAAATGCACAAATAGTATGAATTTAACATACAAATCATATTTAATCTATGTAAGACTGCCTGAGAACAAAATAGCACAAAACAGACTTAAAATTATCGCTTGCAATTACTACTCATATCCCTTTGTGCACAATACAGCAAAAATTTGAACTACACTGCCTTACCCCCAAACTTGATGTGCACATTATCCTCAATGTGAGAAAATAAAACTGAAGTTAGAGAGATATTACCATAACCGGTGAAAATAGGACAAAATTGTAACTCTAGCAAGCAAAAAGGGTAAATTAGAAAATACACTCCCAAACTTGTATCCAAGCACTTGGCAAAATTATCAAACTCCACAACACACATCAGAGTAACTAGTATATAGGGCAAAGCAGATAGAAATATCATGCACAAGCCAAAAATCAGCCATAACAACAGAAATATGACAATAAGGGCAAAATAGGCAAAATCCATACATATATATGCAAAAATGTTAATACAAAGCTTGTATGAAACTTAGGGCAAACATACATAAAAAAGAACAGAAATATATCACAAATACCAAAAAGAACTACCCTAGGTAAAAAAGAAACCTATCTAGAACCCACAACACAAACAAACTAAGAATCACACATCGGGAGGTGCAACAGCAGATGTTGACGCATCCTGAGGAAGATGTCTATGAATCTTATCTAAGGTCCTCTGCTGAGCTGCTAGCATGCTCTATGTGATAGTGTGGTACTGGATATGCCCAACTCGAGACTGAGCAATCTTAATCCTCATTTTTGCCATCTTAGCACGAAGCTCTAAAAACTCATCCCGAGTCATTCCGGGAGGTCCTGTTGCGGATGGAGGAACCTTAGCCTCATCCATCTCATAATCTGCATCCTCCTCATCATCTGCATCCCCAGGGTCCTCAGTTGCCCTTGTAAAAGGACCCTCTGCCTTAGAAGCAACTCCCATATTTACTGGTGGATGCAGGCATCCCTGCATCACCCATCTCTATCAAATTCCGGCGCTCCTTCGGCATGTGGTACTAAACATTATTTCACTCCTGCAAGCGGAACCTCGGTGACTCTTCTATAAATGCCTAACCTTACTCAATATCAAATCCCGGCAACTCTAATAGCCGGGTAATTATATATGGGAAAGGGAGCTTGTGAGACGGAATAACCTACTTAGGTCCAATCTCAGATCAAAACTGAAGCAATTGGCCAAAAATAATCATCGAGATAAAAAACCAGTGATCATACTGAAAAACATATAGTGCCTAAAAAAATTCACTATACATCGCCATCTTATACCCAAGTGGACGGACATTCATGTAGAAAATGGAATCCACAATCCACAACCACTTTGGAAGCTTGGATTTCGTTGTACTACTGCATTTCCCCTTCGCAAACCTACTCTCACACATCTCCTGAATCAAACTCTCAGCACTCCTATATGTGGGAAATGGTGTATAGGTAGGACAGTTGCGCTTTTCATCCAACACCTCTGATAGCTTATGGTGACACTATAATGCCGTAGCTATCACCTCGGGAGTAATAATCAACTCATGTCCATCCACTAAAGTCCTAAGCACCAAAAGCTCACCCTCCCAATAAGAAAGGTTGAGATAGAATAGACGGATAAGTCGGGGATAAGCCTTTGTCACTGCTAGGACCATGGTACGAAAAAGATGCGTGTAGCTAAAGGACTTCATAACCCAGCGAGTGTGTGGATAAAAAATGAACGCCTTTACATCAAAGGTTGTCTTATAAGAAATAGGACAAGTCTTACATGCACTCGACATAGTACCCCTAACCACATGAGCACGCTTGGAAGGGAAAGGGCGAGTCATCTCTGTTGTCAGAATACACCTACAAGAAACCCAGAACAATCACTGCCAAACCACTCCACCAACTGTACCAAATCAAATCTCGCACACCTCACAACACTACACCTAAACAACAAGCACAAAATCACAACAAAACAATCCTGACACCCCTCACAAAGCCACACAACAATGCCCAAAATGCAATCATGTGATATCACTTGATTCTAGAGACATGGGTTGATCAAGCCCAAGCCTAAAATGGAGGGAAAGTATCAAACAATTAAAGTAATAATCGAACACAGAATATAAAAGATTAAAAGAATAAATAATAAAGCAGAAAAGAAAACTAAATAATAAATCCTCCAATAATAATCCAATAAAATAACATCTCTATTAAATAATCTAAATCTTCTTATACCAGTAACTATATAGATTACAACTCGGGAATCCATAATGTGGACCCCTAATAAAACCTAACTGAAATAAAACGCAATCCAAAGACTGAAACATAAATAAGAATCCT